CACCTTCCTGTGACCCGGAGGCCCTGTGTGGCCCAACCCCCACAAGCCTCCCCGGCCACACCCTCTTGCATTTCCTAGTTACCCCATCCAGCCACTCTGTGGTCTTCTTAGTCTTCCTGCACACCCAGTCTGTTCTGGCCTCTGGGCCTTTGCACATGCTGTTTTCCTCCACAGGAAATGCTCTTCCTCCTCCAGGTGCTCCTTGCACTGTCCCATACTTGTCCCAATTCCTCCTCCATCAGGTTCTGACTCAAGTGTTGCTTCCCCTGGGAAGTCCTCCTAGATGACTCCAGGTTTGGTTGGGACCTCCTTGTTCTATTCACAGGTCTCAGATATCTCACATGCATGGACCTCTATCCACAAGCAACAAATCAGTCCTCCATCACCACCACTCCACCAGGCCCATGGGAGTGGGGGTGGGGAAAGTTGTTTTTCCTCCCACATATCTCACCTGGGGAAACAAGCTCCACTGCAAGGAAGTGGTTTGGAACAGGCCCAAGCATCTCTTTGGGCAGAATCATGTCATCTTGGCCTCATTTAACCCAAGCAATATATTCCAAAGTAAAAACATTGAGTACCGGCTGCTTCTGCTCTGGGAGAGCGAATTGGAGCCACAGCTTCTATCCAGGAGACACCTGCTGGCCCCTGAAAAGCACCCATGTCCCTCCCCTCCAGGGCATCTCTATACTCCACCTCTCCTTGCAGCTCATCCATGACCTTTTGGGGAGTCTGTGTCTGGTTCTGACTCCTCCAGCCTGGGGACTCCTTGGGACCAGGCTGGGGTGAGGTTGGCCCAGAGGATTCAGGCTGAAGTGTTTGTTGAACTAATGAATATATCATCTGCCTTATGTGCACTCCTCAAAAGCCTCGCTCCAATGTCCCTTTTTCAAGGATACCTTCCCTGTCTCCCCAGACAAAGCCCTCACTTCTCTACTCCTAACCCTTCCAGCTCTGGGACCCACCCTTCAGCCGAATCCTGTCGCCCCAGGGCTGGGAGAACATCTGTGGATAGCTCTTCCTCTGGCATACTGAGATCTCCTTGGGAACCAGGACTGAGACCTCTCAGGGGCACAGGAAGTTGTTAAAAAGTGCTTGCAGAGAAGATGAATGAACAAATGAATGATGAATGAATATTGCAGGGCCTGACATCAGAGGTCCTGGGTTTCACATCCCGGCCAGGGTGCTGAACACTGAATCTGTTCCTTGACCTCTCCAAATCTCACTTGTCCATTTATTAAATATGTTTACTCAGAGAGTAAACACAAATTGTTGCAAGGGTGAAATGAACACATAAAGTATACAGTCCCAGGGACTTCAGGCTCCCTTCAGGCCCAGACTGGAAGTGATGTGCACCTAGGACCAACAGTTATGATCCCCTTCCCAGCACCCAGAACTAGGGTTCTCAACACACATGCTTAATGGATGCCACAGATGTACAGCACTGGTGAGAGGGATAGAAGGAGGAAAGAGGGATCCCTGGGTGGCGCAGCGGTTTGGCGCCTGCCTTTGGCCCAGGGCGCGATCCTGGAGACCCGGGATCAAATCCCACGTCGGGCTCCCGGTGCATGGAGCCTGCTTCTCCCTCTGCCTGTGTTTCTGCCTCTCTCTCTCTCACTGTGTGCCTATCATAAAAAAAAAAAAAAAAGGAGGAGGAAAGAAAGGCAAATACTAAAGAGGCTGAAATTGAAATATTGGTGAGGATGGATGTAGCACAGACTTCCTCACCAACCCCTTGGGAAAACAGTCTGGCCATCTCTTACCCCATCTCCCAGCCATCCTGCCCCTAGGCATTTACTGGGAGAGAATGAGGTATAGTCACTAAAAGACATGTACAAAAAAGGTTCAAAACCGTTTTATCCATGATAGCCCCAAATTGGAAACAACCCAAATGTCCACCGACAGGGGAAATGGACAAACAGGGAAAAACTGGTACCCAGAGGTTTTAATAACAATAATAGTAACGATTGTGATGATAAAATCCAGGTGTTTGCAAGGACACAGAGGCATTGGAACTCTCATATATTGCTGACGGGAATGTGAAATGGTGCAGCCGCCGTGGAAAATGCTCTGGCAGTTCTTCAAAAAAACTAAACATAGAATTACCATGTGACCCAGCAGTTCCACTCCCAGGCTTATACACAAGGGAACGGAGAGCTGGTATTTTTTTTAATATTTTTTTCTTTATTTATTTATGATAGTCACAGAGAGAGAGAGAGAGAGGCAGAGACACAGGCAGAAGCAGGCTCCATGCACCGGGAGCCCGATGTGGGATTCGATCCCGGGTCTCCAGGATCGCACCCTGGGCCAAAGGCAGGCGCCAAACCGCTGCGCCACCCAGGGATCCCGAGAGCTGGTATTCAACAAAAACGTATCCATGAATGTTCACAGCAGCACTTGTCACAATAGCAAAAAGGCAGAAACAACTCCAGCATCCACCAATGTATGAATGGATAAACAAGATGTAGTAAAACCATACAAAGGAATAAAGTAGTCAGACATGGATACAACATGGATGTACCTTGAAACAATATGCTGAGGGAAGGAAGCCAGATAGAAATGACCACACAGTGTATGAAATGTCCAGAACAGATAAATCTGTAGGGGCAGAAAGTAGAATAGTGGTTGCCAGGGGCTGAGGGAATGGAATGGAAATAGGGTTTCCTTTTAAGAGGATGCAAGTTGTTTGGAGCTAGTATTAGTGAAGGTTGCATGACATTGTATTGTCTTTGAATTATATACTTTGAGATGATTAAAAGAAGTTATATATTATATGTATTTTACCACAAGTTAAAAAAAAAAAGCATTCCCTAAGAATGCTACACAGCCATGAAAAGGACCAATGTGTGCTCCTCACCTAAGAGAAACCAGAATCAAGAGTGGCCACCCTCTGTGATCCCATTTATGTGAAGTTTAGAACCAGGTAAAACTCACCTATGATGACAGAGGTTGGGGCAGTGGTTGCCTTGAGAGAGGGGAGTGTCAACTGTAGAGTCTAAGGAACTGCCAGGAGCTGGGAATGTCCTAGATCCTGACCAGAGGGCCATTGCCCTCGTCAACCACCACTTTTGACACTTGTGAACTTGACCATGCCTTATGTTAAGCCTCAAGAAAAATGTTAAAAAGAGAAAAGAATTACCAGGGTAAGAAAACAAAAGTGCCCAGCAGTCCTGAAGGCTAAGAGTTCCATTTTTCCCCACAAATGGTATCATCTGATCCCTCTAGGGACAGATGACCTTGAAACAGGCATAGAGCTGGGTGGAGACAAAGGCAGGAAGGAAGTAACCGGAGTCTGCTTCCTGGGATTTCAGAGATGATAACACAGATGCTTCATCCCTGGGGAAATGCTCCCCACATTTCCCATACAAGCATCATCAACCTGGATGACAGAAAAACCTTAGGACTCCAGAACATTCAGAACATCAGCCCCCACAGTCCTTAGGGAGGACCTTTCCTCCCAAGTCAGACACCCTGGTGGAGACACATCCTCACACATCAGGGCCCTTTAAGACAAACTAGAATTGATAGCAACAGTCATAACTCACAGCCGTAGGAAGGAGGAAGACCATAGACTTCAGTCAGAAGGTCCTGGGTTCAAGTCTTTGTTGTTGTTGTTGTTGTGTGGGTTCAAGTCTTAACCAGTAAATATACATGAAGGAATAAGTAATAAATGAGTGGTAGACTAATGGGCTTTTCATCTCCATTCCACAAGCCTTTATCATGCATTTCCAGGATGCTCAGCCTTGTCTTACAAAAGGCCAGGGCTCAGAGAGGCCACTAACTAGCCTGGCCTCCAACTCCCAGCCTGGTAGGGGAGATAGAGCCTGATATAGACACTCCCAGTCCTATTATTGCTCAGAGCAATAATGTAAGAAATCACAGGCAGCCAGGACACGGGGGAGGGAGCTAAGAAGGAGGGACTGGGATAGAGGAAGAATGCCAGGGCCAAAAAGGGAGAGGAAGTGGAGTACTGGAACGTTAGACAGCACGTGGCCAGTGACTGTTACACACTGACCAGAGAGGAAGTTGGGCTAAACAACCCCAGATAACGAAGGGCGGCAGGAGGCCAATCCTGTTTCCCAGGCCTTTCCATTTCTGTCTTGATTTGTCTTGTATACCTCCAGAGATGGAGACCTCACTTCCAAGAGAGACAGCTCAGCCCTCCCTGGGCACAGACAACCATCGAAAAGTTTGATGCAATAAAATATTTTTATGTAGTGGCCACCATAGCTTCAAGGGCTGAATGAGATTGTTTGGGGAAGGGAGGGGTACCCATGTGAGACAGGCAGTCAGTGCCTGCCACAGGCTGGTTCTAGAACCAGACTCACTTGGCTTCAACTCTGCTCTACCACTTAAGGGGCTGGTGACTTAATTTCTCCAAGCCTCGGTTTCTTTTCCTCTGAAATGAGCATAATAACATCACCTACCTCATAAATTTATTCAATGAGCTAATGCAGTAAAATGCCTGGCACATAGGTGCAAACGTGTCACCCTGTTCGAGGGCTCAGAGTGCTCTGGAATATGCCCCAAACACAAACGTACTTTCCTACCTCTAAGACTTTGCACATGCTCTAACTTCTGCTTCAGATGCTCTGGCCCCACCACTCACACCTGTCAAACTCCTACACATCCCTTAAAACCCTAGCTATAAGATACCTTTCTTTTCTCTGTTAAGCCCTGACCCAGGGAGCTAGGAGCATGTGGGCCTGGTTCCGATTGGGGCCCCTGCGATCATGAGCCCCCGGAGGGCACGTGGCAGGCATGCAGTTAAAGCTTGTTGAATGAATGAAGGACGCATGGACGAAGGAATGGTCAGTTGGGGCGGGGTGGCCAAAGTGGAGATCCACTTAGGTACCCGCGTCCCCAGCAGCCAAGACCTGAAGGGGGGCGGCCGGGGGCAGGCGAGGGGCGAGGGGGCTTCCGGGCGGGGTCTCCAGTTCTTCCGGTTCGGCCCCTTTAAGGGGCGGGGCCAGCGGGTGGGCGCTCGGAGCGTCAGTGCGGCGCGAAGATGGCGGCGGCAGCGGCGGCGGGTCCCGGGGCTGCCCTGGCGCCGAGCTCGCTGCTGCTCGTGGTGGGCGGCGAGTGCGGGTGCTCGGGGCTGCTTGCCTACGTGCTGGAGGAGCTCGAGCGAGGTCGGGCCGGCCTGGGGGCGCGGGAGGCGGGCGCGGCCGTGCGCCTGGGCCCGAGGGCTGGGGGGTGGGGCGGCCGGGCTGGGGGCGGGGGAGGAGGGGAGGGGGGGCGGCGGGATCCAGAGGCCGGGAGGCTCGAGCCTCCTCACCGTGTTAGGCGCACGGCGCGGGCTGAGGCCTTGGGTGCCCACGGAGGGGGCGGCGCCCGGGCCTGTTGGGCTGCCCCGCCCCGACTCGGGTGCAGCCCAGGGATGGGACTCGAGCCGGGCTCTAGGACCCGCGTGATTGGGCAGCGCGGACCATAGCTCCGCTTCCCGCCCAGCGAGCCGGCCGAGGGGAGGGGGGGTCGTCTCGAATCCCCTGGTCTTAGCAGACTAGACGTCGTGGACGGAGCAGGGGTGGAGAGGCCGGGCCCGCAGCCGCGGGGCCCATATTCCGTTGCTCCACAGGGAGCTTGCTAATTGGGGTGTGGGCGGGCGCGGCCTGCCCGGGGGATTTGGCATCTGGGGAGGTGAGTCATGGGTGCACCTGCAAGGTTCACCTGCAGCCACTTGGCACGGTGGAACCGGCGGGCTCGGGCGTGGTGCACCCCACACCGTGTTTGGAGGCCATTCATCCCCCCCAATCAGATGGGCAGGGCCTGCGGTCTGGCGCCTGTAAAATGGGAAGGCAGCGCGCACTTCTGTTCTGGTGCTCCGGAATGTCGTCAGTCTGCGCCCGAGTCCTCCTCCTTCCCTCCCCACTGGCCCATGCGCAGGGATAGTGTGGAGACCACAGGCAGGTTCAGCTCTGCTCTCACAGGGCCAACAGTCTGGTAGGGAGATAGACCCAAAATGGGTGAGGAGGTGGAACAGGTTTTAAGCTCACAAGCTGTCAGCACTGCTCAGAAGGATGCAAGGGGCTGAGGACCTGAAGGGTAGAGAGTCAGATGGAAGGGCCTCCTGAGAGCAGGAGCAGCTGGTGCAAAAGCCAAGAGGTAGGAGCCTGTCTGGCAGGATGGAGGAGCTGTGAGACCAGTGGCGGGGGTCGGGGAGATGATGGAGGGGAGGAGATGACTGTTTAATAGGAGGTGGGAGCTTTGGTACTGATGTGACTCTTCTCTGAAATGCTGAGTTACGCTTTGGGTTCCTTGATGCGGGTGCAGGGGCACCTTGGGTAGTTGTGAAACTCCAGGCTGTTGCATAGTGGGGGCGGGTTGAGGGGAGGGGCTGGGGTTGCTCCCACCTGCCAGATGCTAGGTACTGAGATTTCAGGGGAGCTGGGGAGCCCAGCTGATTCCCTCTCTCACTTCTCCTGCTCTCCCTTTCCCCCCATGACAGGCATCCGGTCCTGGGACATTGACCCTAGCATTTGCAACCTTGACGAGCAGCTCAAGGTTTTTGTGTCCCGGCACTCTGCCACCTTCTCCAGCATCGTGAAAGGTGAGACTGGGGACCCTGCATGCCTCAGCTGCTCCCCTTCCATATGCTTCACCAGGCATATGTTCTCCAAGTGTGAGCTCTGTGACAGGCATTGGGGGGAAGGAGGGGGTCAGGTACACTTGTAAAAAACAGCAGTAATACAGCTCAGCTCTACAGAGTGCAGAGCAGGGGTGGGCCCTGACCCAGTGCTAACTCCCTTGGACATCAGTTATACACAAGACAGGAACTCCTGTTTTTTCCCCATTTTGCAGATGAGGCAACTGAGTGGGAGGGGCCGGGGGGGATCTCCAAAAGTGGGTTCTTTGGATGAAAGGCATCTGGGGTTGGTGTGTCAAGTGGAGGGAGGGGCCTAGGTGAGGTGAGAAGATATTTGGAAAGTGAGGGGCTGCTTGAGAGGCCCTGGAGGGTGGAGTGTGGGCCCCGTGTGGCAGGGACTGGGTCTGGCTTGTGTCTGTGACCCCTGTACAGGACTGGGTGCACAGTAGGTGCTCAGTAGATGGGGAGCTGGGAAAGGAGCAAGATCGAGAAAGGGGTCGGGATGCCTGGACCACCTCTGCACCGTGCAGGGTGACCCACTGCACAGAGCAGCAGCTGGGCGGGTTCCAGGTGTGTCCTGCAGTCCCTCTTGCCTCAGCCAGCCCGTTGAGTCAGCTCCAGGCTGCTGCAGGAGAGGAAGGAAGTGTCCTTCGCCTCATTGTCCTAACCATTCCTGGTGGCTTCCTGACACCTCATGAGATGGGGGGGGCTGGAAATCCTATCTGCTCTGTGTGACCATGGCAGCCATTTCCTCTCTCTATGCCTTGGTTTCCCCACCGGAATGGGGCAATATCCGTACATGATAATAAGCATGTGATAAATTGATAAAAAGTTGACCAGTGCCAAAAGGTCCTTACCTCTCCAGCCTCAGTCCTGGTGCTCCATTTTTGAAACATTGGGCTCTGGGGGCAGACCAGGTTCAGATTCCAGAATCATCCCTACTCCCCTCTTCATGGCCCCCTTGCCCCCATGCTCCCCTATTCTAGCCTCACCTGCCACTTTGCGATCCTCAGACACTTGGAGCCCAGGCCTGCTTCAGAGCCTTTGCCCATGTTCTCCCCTCTTCCTGGTATCCCTCATTGTTCCTCCCTGGGTTCAGGCTTCTTGCCTATAAAATGGGGGTGACAGTGGCATCCCCCATAGGGCTGACTGCTGTGAATTGGGGCCTGCAAGCAGTAGAGTCTATGTTGTCATTGCTGTTTCCAGTTTGAGGCCTGCCAAGGCAGATTTCCTGTTCTTGCCTCATCCTGACCTATAGCTCTACCGTGTGCTGTTGACCCTCAGATGACCCTGAGAAGCAGAGTTCTGGAGGGGTTTATGGCTGCCTGGAGTCACACAGGGAGTCAGGGTTCAACACCGGGACAGCCTGGCCCGGTACACATGGCCCAGCCCCAGACTTACTGTGCCCTGTTTCCTCGCAGGCCAGCGGAGTTTGCACCACCGTGGAGACACCCTGGAGACCCTGGTCCTCCTAAATCCATCAGACAAGTCCCTATGTGATGAGGTATGAAATAGTTGTCTCTTGTAGGGAGTAGGCTGCCAGGACCAGAGCCATCCCAAGTCCTGACTTCCTGCCTCCCTGACTTTGTGCTGTTGGAAATCCTCTTGACACCCCGTTGCATCACCCCCCTCCAGGAAGCCTCCCCAGGTGGACCCAGATGCAGCTTATTCCCTCCTCAGGGGCGATGGTGGGAGCAGGTGAAGTCAGGAAAGATTAGAGTTTGGGAGGAAGGAACAGAGGAACAGAGTGGGGAATGTCTGGAGGCTGGAAGTCAGGATTTGACTTTTGCATCTTATGCCTCCCTCGTGGCTGGGCCCCAGGAATTATGTGGATTGACTTCTTAATACTTGTAGCTTGTGGACACTATGCCTTTCTTCCAGTTATCCGTGGGAAAGATGGACAAGCTAGAGCCCCAGGACACCCCTCTAGAGAACCTGGTTCGGGTTGATCCCTTTGATCAGAAATGGTCCTTGAGGAGTTCTGAAGGAGATAGAGCTAGACACAGATACTCTCTTCCCTGTGGCATTGAGGCTGGGCCAGAGAGAGAAGTGGGCTACAGGGAGTCCAGAAAGGGTATGGTGGGCTTCTAAGAAGAGGAGGCACTGGAGCATGGCTTTGTAGGATGAGCCGCAGGGTAGGGGGGTGAGGGGAGCAGGGCTCAGCAGGAGACCCAGAGGGTATGCTTCTGGCTTCTAGTTGAGTGCTGGGCTGGGGTGGTTATATGTAAATTTGGGGTTGGGGTCCATTCCGGCATGGGTGTGTGTACAGGCTTTGTCATCGCATAGAGTAGGGGCTTTAACAGTCTCCGTCCTCAGCTCCGGAATCTTCTGCTTGACCCTGCCCCTCACAAGCTGCTGGTGCTGGCTGGGCCCTGCTTGGAAGAGACAGGGGAGCTGCTGCTCCAGACGGGGGGCTTCTCACCCCGCCACTTCCTCCAGGTCCTAGGGGACAAAGAGGTAAGCCACCTTCTCATCCTGCTTCCCCTGGCTCTGAATCCTGACTCCTACCCATTGGGCTGTGTGGCCCTAGGGACATACCTCCCCTGCATCACATCTCTTCTTCTGTAGAATGGTAGCAGTGATACATGTCCCTTCTGTTTGGGGGGCTCAGTTTCCTCACCCACCACAGTGTATGGTTTGACGCTAGGCCTGTAGATCAGTAGACCTCCCAGAGACCTTCAGTGGCACCCCAGGCTCTAGGCCTCAGTTGGGTAGGGTCCTTTCTAGAGTCTTTAGTCTGGGTGGAGCAGATGAGGAAAAATAATTGGTAAACCATCTTTTCCCATTATAGAGAATGACAAAATGATGGTGAGATAGGAACAGCATACAGAGAGAGGTAGGGGACATGGAAGGTCTCCCTGGAGGGAGCTGTGCTGTAGGAGGAGAACAGGAAGTGCAAGGCCCTGAGGTAGGGAGAGTAAGAGAAAGGGTAGGGAGGGAAGTAGATGGTGAGGCAGGCCCATGTGTCTCTGTGGACCTGGGGGAGGGCTGGGTTTTGTCCTAAGGGTGACAAGGGTTGGGCAAGGGATTGTCCGCCCCAGGAGGCAGCAGGATGGGGGTGTCCTGGCCTAGTTTTCTTAAGGGGCTGGGTATTGCCTGGTTCCAGGGGCTAATAATCATTACCTCCTGCAGATCCGGGATCTCCTGGCATCCTCGCCCCCACCTGCAGACCTGCCCAAGTTGACTATCACCTGCCCGACCTTTGGTGACTGGGCCCAGCTGGCACCTGAAGTGCCTGGCCTCCAGAGCGCACTCCAGCTGCAATGGAACCCCCCCATGCAGCTGCCGGCATCCGAGGGCCTACGTGAGTTCCTGGAGTATGTGTCAGAGTCCCTGGAGCCACCATCTCCCTTTGAGCTGCTTGAGCCGCCGGCATCTGTGGGCTTCCTCAGGCTCGCCCGGCCCTGCTGCTACATCTTCCCTGGCGGCCTCGGCGATGCGGCCTTCTTCGCTGTCAATGGCTTCACAGTGCTGGTCAACGGTGGCTCCAACCCCAAGTCGAGCTTTTGGAAGCTGGTGCGGCACCTGGACCGGGTGGATGCTGTGCTGGTGACCCATGCAGGCGCCGACAGCCTCCCAGGCCTCAACAGTCTGCTGCGGCGCAAGCTGGCAGAGCGTGAGGAGGCAGCGGCTGGTGGGGGCTCCGGGGATGACCGGCTGCGCAGGCTCATCTCCCCCAACCTGGGGGTTGTGTTCCTCAATGCCCGCGTGGCCACCTCCCGTCTGGTGAGCGGTGAGGATGAGGCAGAGCTGGCCCTGAGCCTCCTGGCCCGGCTGGGCATCACACCCCTGACTCTGAACCGCGGGCCGCTCCCGGCTGAGCCCACTGTGCTCTTTCAGAAGATGGGCGTGGGTCGGCTCGACATGTATGTACTGCACCCCCCTGCTGCTGGGGCTGAGCACACACTGGCCTCCGTGTGCGCCCTGCTAGTGTGGCACCCCGCAGGCCCCACTGAGAAGGTGGTGCGCGTGCTGTTCCCTGGCTGCACACCACCTGCCCGCCTCCTGGATGGCCTGGTCCGCCTGCAGCACTTGGGATTCTTGCGGGAGCCCGTGGTGACTCCCCAGGACTTGGCGGGGCCTCGAAGAGCTGAGAGCAAGGAAAGCGTGGGCTCCCGGGACAGCTTAAGAAGAGAAGGCCGGATAACAGCACTCACCAGGTCTTCCCAGGAGCGCCCTGGAGTGGCCCGGAAGGACCCGCCTCGAGTTGAGGGCCCCCGCAGGGCTGAGAAAGAAGCCAAGGTCCCCCGAGAGGTGAAGAAGGACCCCAAGCTAAGCGCCCCTCGGACCCAGCCCCGGGAGGTACGCCGGGCAGTCTCCGCTTCTGTTAATGTGAAGAAGGCGGGTGCCCAGGCGGCCCCCAGACCCCGCAAAGCACCCAGTGTCCCCCGCCCAGGTGCCCCACCAATGGAGAATGGGCCCCACAGCCCCCCCAGCTTCCGGTGTGGAGAGGCCAGCCCCCCAGCAGAGGTCTATAGTTCCCCAACTCCCCAGCTGGTGGCCACACCCAGCCAGGAGAGCAGCCTGGAGCTGGGGCTGAGCCCAGCCGGGGAGGAGAAGACCCTGGAGCTGCTTTTGGATGCTGGCACGCCCCGGCCTCGCACACCCTCACCTACTGGAGCCCAGCAGGGCCCAACTGAAGGCAGTGGGCGATTGTCACTGAGCCCGCTGCGCGGCGGGGAGGCTGGGCCAGATGCCTCACCTACAGTGACCACACCCTCGCTGCCAGCTGAGGTAGGCTCCCCACACTCCACAGAGGTAGACGAGTCCCTGTCCGTGTCCTTCGAGCAGGTGCTTCCGCCACCACCTGCCACTGCGAGCGAGGCTGGGCTGAGCCTCCCACTCCGTGGCCCCCGGGTACGGCGATCAGCCTCCCCGCATGATGTGGACCTGTGCCTGGTGTCACCTTGCGAGTTTGAGCACCGAAAGGCTGTGCCCATGGCGCCAGCACCCGCATCCCCCGGCAGCTCAGATAGCAGTGCTCGGTCCCAGGAGCGAGCGGGTGCTCCAGGGGCCGAGGAGACACCACCCACATCCGTCAGCGAGTCCCTGCCCACCCTGTCTGACTCAGACCCCCTGCCTGCCGCCTCTGGCACCGCGGACTCAGATGAGGACATGGAGGGCTTTGGGGTCCCTCGCCGTGACCCGCTGCCCGAGCCTCTCAAGTTCCCCCCACCGCTGCCCACCCCACCCAGCATATGCATGGTGGACCCTGAGATGCTGCTCCCTGAGCAGGCACGGCTGACAGAGGGCCTCAGCCGCACCCGGAAGTCCCTGGCTCGCCCCAACCCCAGCACTGCTGCCCCCAAAGCCACTGCAGCGAGCACTGCCAAAACCAAGGGACTGGCTGGTGGAGACAGGGCCAGTCGGCCGCTCAGCACCCGGAGTGAGCCCAGTGACAAGGGAGGTCGGGCACCTCTGTCCAGAAAGTCCTCAGTCCCCAAGACGACCACTCGGGGCCCACCTGGTGAGTACCCAAGAGCTGGCTTCCTACAGTGTTACTGGCTCAAGTCTTTGTTTCATACTTGCTGTGTGGTCTCAGCCACACCTGCCATCCTCTCTGGGCCTCCGTTTCTCACATAAAATGGAAATTCTGGCTCACTGTTTAAGCACTTGTAATTCCTAGGCACTCAAGCATTGCTGTCAGTGGAAACATAAAGTGGGCATATCTGTCGTCATGAACTTGAGGAGCCCTAGTAAGTAAGAAGAAATAGGTGAAATTAATTTTAATAGTATATTTAACCATTTTGTGTGGAGGTTCCCAAACCCACCACCACCAGGTTCGATGATTGGCTGGGAGGACTTGGTTGACAGTTCTCCTGATGGCTGAATTGTATTATTAGAGCAAAAGGATACAGAATAGAATCTTTTTTTTTTTTTTAATTTTTTTAATTTTTTTTTTTTATTTATTTATGATAGTCACAGAGAGAGAGAGAGAGAGAGGCGCAGAGACATAGGCAGAGGGAGAAGCAGGCTCCATGCACCGGGAGCCCGATGTGGGATCCAATCCCGGGTCTCCAGGATCGCGCCCCGGGCCAAAGGCAGGGCCAAACCGCTGCGCCACCCAGGGATCCCCAGAATAGAATCTTTGAGGGCAAGGGGCACAGGCGGAGGTGGGACTCCCTGGGGCGGGGGGGGGGGGGAGCCAGGCACAGGCTTCTAGAGCTATCTCCCAGCATAGTCACACCATGTGCTTCAATGCCCAAGCAGGGAGCCAAGATGACCCATGCAAAGTGGTGCCTACCAGGGAGGTTTGTAAAAGACACAGTGCCCAGGGTTTCTGAGGGGTGCTGATTACATTGGCACCCTCTGCCTGACACGCACCCAAATTCCAGACTCCTCAGAAAAGAGGGAGCAGGGGTTCAGCAGGAGCCGCAGTGCTGCAGGACAGGTGAGCACACAGGCCACCCTTGTCACTCAGTGGGGACCTCTCTGAGATTTAAATTCCCGAGACTGCAGCCAAGGGCCACTCTGGAAGCAGACCTTTCTAAGGCTAGCAGTCTCAGGTATGCCGGGCTAACTTTTCTCCTGGTTTTCCTTAGTTGTGATGAAATGTATGCGACATGGCATTTACCTTAATGACATGGCATTTACCTTAATGCTGTTGCATTAAGTACATTCACATTGTTGTGCAGCCATCCTTGCCCTCACTCTCTAGGACCCCTTTTGTCTAGCAAAACTGAAATTCTGTTCCCCTTAAGTACTAACTCCCCATTCCTTCTCTCCTCATCCCCAGCACCCACCATTCTACTTGGCTGTTTCTATGACTTAGGTACTGTAGACATCTCCTGTGAGTAGAATCATACTCTATTATCTTATTTCATACTCGGTCTTATTTCACTTTAGTAGAATGTTTCTGCGGTTTATCCATCCTGTAGCCTGCGTCATAACCCGCCCCTCCTCCGCCTTTTTTTTTTTTTTTTTTTTTTTTTTTTTAAGGACATTCCTTCCTTGAGTGCCTGGTGGCTTAGTTGGTTAAGCGTCTGACTCTTGATTTCAGCTCAGGTCACGATCTCAGGTCATGATCTCAGGGTTGTGAGATCAAGCCTCACATCAGGCTCTGTGCTCAGTGAGGGGTCAGCTTGAGATTCTCTCTTTCCCTCTGCCCCTCCCTCTGCTCATGCTTCTCTCTCTCAAATAAATAAAATATTTTTTAGTGATGCTTGGGTGGCTCAGAGGTTGAGCATCTGTCTTTGGCTCAGGTCGTGATCCCAGGTTTGGGGATCAAGTCCCACATCGGGTTCCCCATAGGGAGCCTGCTTCTCCCTCTGCCTGTGTTTCTGCCTCTCACTCTGTATATTTCATGAATAAATGAATACTATCTTTAAAATATACATATATATATATATATATATATTTTTTTTTTTTTTTTTTTTTTTTTTTTTAATATCTGGGGCGCCTGGGTAGCTCAGTTCAGTGTCTGCCTTCTGCTTGGGTCATGGTCCTGGGATCAAGCCCCATGCCAGACTCCCCCCGCTGCTTCTCCCTCTCCCTCTGCCTCTCTCCTCTGCTTGTGCACATGTGTGCTCTGTTTCTCTCTTCCTTAAATAAAGTCTTAAAAAAATTTCCTTCCTTTTTAAGGTTGAGTAACATTCCATTGTGTGGCTGACCATATTTTGTTTATCCATTCACCCGTTAATGGACACTTGAGTTGTTTCTACCTTTTGGTTGCTGTTGGTTGAATCATACTGCTTTGAACATGGTTGGACAAATACCTCTTGGAGACCATGCTTTCAAGTCTTTTGGGTATATTCCCAGAAGTAGGAGTGCTGGATCACATGGCAATTCTATTTTTGATTTTTCGAGGAACCACCATACTGTTTTCCACAGCGGCTGCACCATTTTACATTCCCACGAACAACGCAGAAAGATTTTAGTTTCTCCACATCCTTGCCAACACTATTTTCTGAGTTTTGATAGTAGCCATGTGATGGGTGTTATGAAGCTTTTGCTTTGTTCTAAGAGCTTTATGGTTTTGGCTCTTACATTTTATTCCTTGATGAACTAATTTTTTTTTTTTTTAAGATTTTATTTATTCATGAGAGACACAGAGAGAGAGGCAGAGACATAGGCAGAGGGAGAAGCAGACTCCTCGCAGGGAGCCTGATGTGGGTCTGGAGCCCGATGTGCGACTCCCATCCCAGGACTGGGATCACGCCCTGAGCAGAAGGCAGATGCTCAACTGCTAAGCCACCCAGGCATCCCAATGAATTAATTTGTTTAAAAAAGATTTTATTAATTTATTCATGAAAGACACTGAGAGGCAGAGAAGTAGGCAAAGGGAGAAGTCTGGACCCCAGGATCACAACTTGAGCTAAAGGCGGATGCTCAGCTACTGAGTGACCCAGGTGCCCAAGCCTAGAAGAATTTTAATTACTGATTCAATCTCCTTACTAATAATAGATCTGTTGAGCTTTTCTGTTTCTTTGTGATTCGGCCTTAGTTGGTTTTGTGTTTCTAGGAATTTGCATATTTCTTCCAGGTCATCCAGTTTGTTGGTTGTGCAGCTATTCACGCTACTCTCTTACCTACTGCTTTTTACGTCTGTAGAATCAGTAGGAGTGTCCCTACTCTTCTGATCTTCGGAAGTTGAGTCTTCTTTTTTCTTAGTCTAGTAAAGAGCTGTCAATTTTGTTAATCTCTTTGAAGAACCAACTTGCGGTTTTGTTGATGATCTTTTATGTTTTTCTAGTCTCAATTTTAAAAATTTCTGCTTTTATCTTTACTATTTGATTTTTTTCTGCTACCTTTGGATTTCTCTTTGTTCTTTTTCTAGTTCTTGGGTTGCAAGGTTGTCATGTTGAGATTTTTTTTTTTTAAGATTTTATTTATTCATGAGAGACACAGAGAGAGGCAGAGACACAGGCAGAGGGAGAAGCAGGCTCCATGCAGGAAGCCTGACGTGGGACTCGATCCTGGGACTCCAGGATCCAGACGCTCAATCGCTGAGCCACCCAGGTGTCCCGAGATGTTCTTTAATATAAACGTTTATAGGTATAAACTTACCCCTTGTCTCTGTTTTCTCTCAGAGATTGGCTTTCAGCAGTCAGGTTACAGTGGGTCTCTCTGAGGTCATCCCACTTGGAATCTGTTAGGCTTTTTGGACGTTCGTACGCACGCCTTGCATCAATTACAGCAAGTTGGGGCCATTATTTCTTCAAATAATCATTCTGCCCTTTTCTCTCCTGGGACTCTGACCTGTGTATTGGCCCTTTTGATGGTGTCCAACGAGTCCCTTAACCACTGTTTACTTTCTTCGGTCTTACTCTCTGTGTTCCTCAGATTTGATCATTGCCATTGTCCTGTCATTAAAAATCGCTGTTTAAATCATGAATCAAATTCCTTTGGTGAATATTTCATTTCAGTTGTACTTCGCAGTTGCAGAATTTCTTTTGGATTTACTTTTTACATTTTCTATATCCTTAATAATGTTTCTGTTTTGTTCATGCGGCGTTCTCTTGCACGTCTTCTTTTCTTTCTGTGAGCATCTTTTAAGACCATCGTTTTAGGGGATCTCTGGGTGGCTCAGCTGTTTAGTGCCTGCCTTAGGCCCAGGGCGTGATCCTGGAGTCCCGGGATCGAGTCCCACGTTGGGCTCCCTGCATGGAGCCTGCTTCTCCCTCTGCCTGTGTCCCTGCCTCTCTCTCTCTTTCTCTATGTCTCTCATAAATAAATAATAAAATCTTAAAAAAAAAAAAAAAAAGACCATCGTTTTAAAGTTTTTATCCAATGAGCCAGCCATTTGGCTTTTCTCAGGAGTGGTTTCTGGTTTTTTCCCCCCCCTTTTTTTCCTTTGACTAGGTTTTGCCTTTCCTGTTTCTTTGTATGCCTTGTGATTTTTGGTGTTGTTGAAAACTGGACATTCAAATTTAATAATGTATTAACTCTAGAGATCCAAATCTTCCCCCTCTCCCAGAGGGAGGTTTGTGTGGTTTCTCTGGTTAATTGATGTGTGCTGCCTCTGTGCTGGGGGTCAGTCTGAGGTGGAAACCAAGGGTCTTCTCAAGTCTTCTCTGAGTCTGCACCTTTCTCCACGTGCATGGTGACCACCCTAAATCTCTTTTTAAATATTTTAATTCCAGTATTATATTAGTTTTGGTGTTAAATTAGTTTCAGATGTATAATACAGTGATTTAGTGCAGTGGGTTTTGAATGGCATAGTCCTTACGTGTTTGGCTCCCGAAGGGGGAAAAAAGCAAAAAATGAAGGGAGGCGGGAGGGAGGAAAAATGTTCCCAGTCCTCTCAGTCTCACATAAGAGGAGGAGGGGCTGCCCTTATGACTATTGTCTGGGTCAGGAGACAGATTCCCTGCTTCCTGCCGCATCAGCATCCCTGAATCCTGCTGAGTTCAGTCTGCCCTGCGTGCTACTGTATCAGAATATTCCAACGTGTCCTCTGTCCTTGATATGAAAAATTACTATCTAGTTCCTCTTCTTGTTGCCACACTAAGTCTTGGGTGCCTGGCATGTGCTTTGCACGCCCAGCTCATCTTGGCTAGTACCTGCCCGGTTCTAGTGCTTGGTGACCCCTGCTGGAGGGCAGGGGGGTGGGGGTGGGGGGGGGTGGGCAGCAATGAAGGTTGGCAGTGATAGTAACATGAGCTTGTGTCCCTGAGTGCTGCTCACCTATCCCAGGTGCGTGGGTGGCCCTGCCCTCCGGAAGCTGACCATGTCTCTGGCTTCCCTCACCCTGTCAGTTCCTAGCGTCAGTGTCCATCTGAGCTGCCACCTCTTATCCTTGGGCTCGTCCACCTCTTATCCTTGGGCTCGTTCCAAGACAGGCACCTAGTGGGCCCCTGTGAGCTTAAGCAGGTCGGGGGTCCCCAGCACAGCAGCAGATGGCAACCCCAGCCTGTGGGCAAGGCTGGCAGCTGGAGGCTGAGTCCTCCGAGGCCCTGTCTGCTGGGGCACTTGGCCACTTGGGGTCTCCTCCTCCTCCTGGATCCGATAGAATGACCCTCCATGCTAATGTCAGCAAACTGTGTCTTCAGAAGGCCAGAAGCTTTACAGGCCAGATGGTCTCTGCCCCAACGACTCAGCTCTGCCCTTTGGCATAACCGCAGCTTAGTATATAACCAAATGGGCAACCTGGTAAAACTACATTTCCAAAAGTAGGCAGGGCTATCATTTGGCTGTCCTTGCTCTACCCCTGCCCTCCTGCGCTGAGGCTTCTACCCATGTTCCCCTAGTCTTCTCTTCGTTGTTCTACCTCTTTGCCTCCTGTCTCCCCTGCGCCTTCCATAGGTATGGTGGCTTTCTCTTCCTGAGTCTTAAGGTCCTCACCACCGCTGCACCTAGCTATGAGTGAGGTAGGCCACTGGCCTCAAGCTGAGGGATTCATGCATTCTGCAAGTGCCCTGACAGCCTCTGGATGCACACCCTGAGCTTGGCAATGTTATGATTCTAAGATGCCAAGCATCTGGCCGGGTTCCTATGCCCAAGATCCAGGTATGTCCTCAATCAGTTGATTCTGAGACACCCCTGGGACTGGTGGCCTCATCCTCTTTGCACAGGCTCTGGATTCAGAGCCATAGATGAGGCTTTGCGAGAGCCATGCCACATCCTGGGTCTCCCTCTTGCAATTCTGCCCCTCCCACACCCACTCTATCTCCCCATTGCCCTTGAGGACGGGTATTTTTGTCTCTCTCGGTTAGTGCCATGTCCCCAATGTCTGATGCCTAGGAGGGCTTGATAAATGTGCCTTGAATAGTTGAACAGATGGGCGCTGCAGAAGCAGCACATTGTTTTAGATACTGGCTGCTTTCAGAGCTTAAGCTTGAAAACCTCCTCTTCCAGGAAGCCCTCCCTGATTGTCCCTTCATACCTTCCCTTACCTCTGGCCCTGGGTATGTCTGTGACCAGAGACTAGCCAGGGAGGGTCCAGGCACTGAGGATATGACCATGGGTATTTGCAGAGTTCATTGAGTAACTTCCCATGCCAAGGAGAGCTAATCAACTATAAGATAGCAAGATCAGGCCTTCTCCTGGGGAGGGGGAGCTACTTGGGGAGGTGTAGGGAGAGCTGGGAGCCTCTCCCTGGGCTCTGGTTCTCAGCCTCTTCCTGGTCCCAGGAGCCCAGGACTGACTCCGTCCTTCTTGCCCACAGGGTCAGCTGGCAGCCGGCCAGGTGGGTCAGCAGCCCCTCCAGGGTCCCCCGTCTACCTTGACCTGGCCTATCTGCCCAGCGGGAGCAGTGCCCGGCTAGTGGACGAGGAATTCTTCCGGCGGGTGCGTGCACTCTGCTATGTCATCAGTGGCCAGGACCAGCGCAAGGAAGAGGGCATGCGGGCCGTCCTGGATGCACTACTCGCGGGCAAGCAGCAGTGGGACCGTGACCTCCAGGTACGTGACCACCCCAGGATCTCAGACAGTCTTAGCACAAGGCCTCCTGATCTTCCTGTTGAACTTAGTCTTAGGAGGTCTGTGTGACCTTCACCCACCCACAGAGGGAGTGGGGCCCAGGGAGACAAAGCTGTGTCCCCAAGGCCACAGAAATGAGGGTGAGAGTCAAAGTCCCACCAGGACTCTTCCTGGTGCTTCCACTTTGTCTGCAGCAGCCTGGGTGCAGGGCAGGGCTGGTGTGATCCCCTCCCCTGACCCTCCGGGCCCTCAATCATCCCAGTTGTGAGAATTAGCCAGAAGGAATAGGTGATGTCTGTGCAGTTGACAAAGTTGAAAATTGACTGTGGGCTGGCTTTGTCTCCAGAGGAAGCCTTGAAGCAGATCTTTGGAGGATAAGGCAAGTTTGGGAAGAAGCAGGAGCTTCCGAGCACCTGGCCACCCATGCAGGGTGTGAGTGAGCCCACTCCCAGCCTTACGGGGAACCCACATGGCCCCTGCTCCTCCTGCAGCTTGTAGAGAGCTGGGAGGGAGAGTTTGAGGCACAGGGTGGCAGTAGAAAAAGCCTGCTATGGGCAAGAGAGGAGCCAGAGGGAGGCCTAGTCTCCTGTGTTGTGAGAGGGTCCCTGGGGTGCCGTGGGGAAGAGAAGGGACTTTGGGGATGGACTGGCCACCAGCTACAATCGTCCTGGCGACAGAGAAAGGAAGCAGAGCAAATGGGTTCAGAGAAGGGCCTTGGGTGCCAGGAGTGGAGCAGGGGCTGGGCCAGGAGGGGAGGGTGCACCCCCTCACTGTCAGTCCATCTTTCTCACCCGCAGGTGACCCTGATCCCCACCTTCGATTCAGTGGCGATGCACGAGTGGTACGAGGAGACACATGCTCGGCACCAGGCGCTGGGCATCACCGTGCTGGGCAGCAATAGCACCGTGTCCATGCAGGACGAGGCTTTCCCCGCCTGCAAGGTGGAGTTCTAGCTCCGTTCCCAACACCCACCCCCTCAGCCCAGAATCTGCCACTGTCCCGAGATTCTCCTGCATCAGAAATAAACCAGGTACTCCACTCAGCTGTGGCCTTGGCTCATTCTACTGACAAGAGACTTGGCAGCGTCTGGGACATTCATCACCACTGCCCAGGCCCCCAGGTTGGGGGATCCCCAGGAGCCAGGGGATGCCCAGGTCAGGCACACTCTGACCTCCACCTCGCAGATGGGAAAACCCCAGCCCAGGGGAGGGTGGCCTCTCTGGAAATGCTGCTGACTGTGGCCTCCAGCCTGACCTGGTGGTGACCATGAGAGGCTGATTTTACCAGTGGGGAATCTTGTTCCCCTGGGCAGCTGCTGGACCCCCACCTCACACACACATGCATCAGTGACCAAGGTGAGATTTGAACCCCAGGGGCCCCATGCTCCAAAGCTAGAAAACAGGTTACTTTCTGTTCCTAGAGATAACTGATGCTCATGGCAGGAAAGTCACACACTACAGAGAGGCCTTAAAGAAGAATCTGAAGCCCAAAGGGTAGACTGCATCAATGCCTGAATGCCTCCTTCTCTGCACGTATGGAGATACCTGGCCATAACATTAGAGAAGATGCCGTGCGCGCTGACCCAGAAAGCATATGCCTGAGTCCTGTCTCCTGGTATCTGGGGGTGTAACCATGTAGAGAGGTGCAGTTAAGTGAAGGATCTTAGGATTATCTGGATGGGCCCTGAATCCAATGACAGGTGTCTTTATAAGAGACAGAGGAGAGACACAGCCAGAGAGAGGAAGGCCAGGTGGAGACAGGTGGAGTTTGGGCCCAGGGGCCACAGGCTGAGGAACACTGGAGCCTCCAGAAGCTCGGAGTGGTGAGGAGTGATCCTCCTCTAGAATTTTCTGAAGGAACTGACCCTGCTAACACCCTGATTTCTGAGTTGTTCTTCCAGAAGTGCTCAAGAGTGAACTGTTTGTGGCCATTTGTGACAGTGGCCCCAGAGTGGCGGGCACACCACTCTCTTCCCTGGACGTGGTGGCCTGAAATCCCCACCTGTGGCTGCCTATGGCCTCCTGCAGCCGACTCCTCCCTGCAGTCACATCAGGCACTGGCTCAGCACGGTCAGGCTGCTTGAACCAAAGCCCCAGCAGCTTCAACACTGACACCACTTCTCACAGCCCTGGAGGCTGGAAGTCAGGGTGCCAGCACAGTCGGGGTCTGCTGAGGATATCTCCTGGCTTGCAGCTGGCTGTCTTCTGGCGGGTCCTCACGTGGAAAGGGACGGGGTGTGGGGGCACAGTCTCTCACACCCCTTCTTAGAGCACCAATCCTAGTTCGAGTCCCCCACCTCCACTACCTGATGATCTCCCAAAGTTCCCACGTCCACAGACCCCCTCACGATGGGGAGTAGGGCTTAAACATAGGAATTGGCGGGGGTAGGAGGTTGTACTGGTTACATCCCAGCCTGTCAATATCCAGTATGTGCTTGGACTGGCCTCTGTGGTGCTGACTGTAGGACACCCTTCAGCAACAACCATCAGGAAACTGAAAAAAGTAAAGGCTCATTCCTTACAAGACCTGGAAGATTGTACAGCACCCCAGGGCCACACAGTGAGGAGGTGGAGAACAGAGAGAGAGCCACCTGTTCACTGGCTGGGCCTCTGCTTTTACTGGGGTCACAATGGTAGCCTGGGTCTCCCAGGGCTCATTATTGATAAACCTAAAACATAGGAGTGGGAATGTAAAGTACCAGAAGGGGGAAAAAAGAAGTGGCCCCAAGGGCCAGTTATCAAAACCAAGGAGGCCTGGGTGGCTGTCAGTTAAGTGTCTGCCTTCAGCTCACGTCATGATCCCAGAGCTCTGGGATCAAGCCCTGAGTCGGGCTCCCTGAGTCTGCTTCTCCCTTTCCCTCTGCCCCTTGCTTGTGTGTTCTCACTCTCTGCCAAATCCTAAGAAAACAAAAAATAAAAAACTCAAGACCCCTCAAATAAAGGAGCCTCAGTGTGGGGAGGCGACCTGGCTCTTTTTATCTAGTAGTGTGGCTGACAAACAGGTTTATTCCAGATAGCCATCTTTGAAGCAGATGCCTGGGCACTCAAAGCTTAAGTCAGACACTTGTGTTACAAGAAGGAAAAAAAAAATGGACTGAGCTCGCACCCCACGGGACACACAGTTCAGTCCAGAGTTGTCAGGGCGGTAGCAGGTGGGGAGATGGCTACAAAGAATTGGTGTGGGGGACCTCACTGCTTCCTGTAAGGGCCAGGTGTCTGGCTGTCATCATGTGGCATGTTGGGGCTGGATGGGGCCAGGCTTCCCAGTCGGGAAGCGCAGACGGACATCAGGAGTGCTCGCACCAGAGCCCCCAGGGACGCACCAGAGCCCCCAGGGACGGAACTCCCCAGGGTGCCATGGATGATGCCACGGCTAAGCTCAGCACACAGCACACAGCGGGAAAGGGAGCAGCGGTCTGGGGGTGCTGCTCAGCACATGGGGCCTGGGTCTGCCACCCTGCACCCACTTGTTTGCCCCTGCACCTGCCTCCCACCACTTACAGGGAAGCGAGAGTGCTGGTGCCATGCCCTGCCAGGTGTTTCGTGTCCAGTAAAGCCGGCATGGCTGCTGCTACTCCAGGGCAGACAGGCTATAGCCCTCTGCCCGCTTTTTCCTGTTGCCAGGTAAGGGTGGGCTTCTGAACCCCGGGCCTCAGGGTGGGTCTCTGTGTAAACAGGAGGCCACGTTGCCAAGTTTGCACTTTGGCCAAACTGTCCAGTGACAGGTACTGCCTCCCATCCTCTGTTCATCTGGTGTATTACCAGGAGGTTTTCTAAAATGAATTTATCCATAATAAGCTGCTTCCACTGTTTTATATGAATGTCTTTTCCTCATTTATACATCATAATTCTGCTTTTTAAATACACTTAAACATTTTTTTAATTGTGCTTAAAAAACATTTACCATCTTAACCATTAAGCTTTTGTGGTAAGCTGGTAAGCTTTTTTTTTTTTTTCCAGATTGACCTCAATTCCATGATGATTTTTTTTCTGTAAACATTTTATTTTTATGGTTTTGAAACCATGGTTTTTAAATGTCTTTTGCACTATGAGAGGCCTATCTTGCAGCTGGCACAAATTCTCCCATGATTTTTTTTCTCTATTTAAAATTTTAACTTTTATTTTTATCCTACTAGTACTTATATAGGAATAAAGAGATGGAGGGGTTGCTCCAGCCCAAAGGGCCATCTGATTGTCCCCAGGCTGGGTACAGGTTTGAAACACTCCCTCCTCCCTGAATAAGACCCTAGTGTGTCGGCGTCTGTTTCTGCATCTGCTCTAATCCATCACCAGCTTTTCTGGTCCTCTCCAGGCTATTTCATTGGTGTAGCGCTGTGTGTCTTAATAGGTCCTCAGCAGGTTCTTTCTCCTTCATTTTATTTTTTCCCTTCATAAATTCCCAGCTGTTTTCACATGCTCATTCATTCCTCTTGGAGTTCTAGAAACTACACAGAAGGGGCCCAAACACACACTAAAAGAAATGTTACAGAGGCGCCTGGCTGGCTCTATCAGTAGAGCAGGTGATCCCTTGATCTCGGGGTTGTGAATTTGAGCCCCATGTTGGATGTGGAGATTACTTAAAAAAGTAAAATCGTTAAAAAATATTATAAACTTCTGCTTTTGACTATATAGTAGACCAGATTCTCATGCTGATCATCCAAGAAAAACAATGAAAATTGCTGGGTAAAAATGAGTTAAATCCTGATTACTGTGTCAGTGAGCCACCAGAGGATAAGAAGCAAGAGCCCCAGGAAGGAAGCAGCTTTTGTGTTACACGAGGTGGGTTTGGTCTTCTGTTTTCATGGACTTCAAAATGGTGGGTCTGTTAAGTCAAGGGACACCTGGGTGGTTCAGTGGTTGAGCATCTGCCTTTGGCTCAGGTCATGATCCCGGGGTCCTGGGATCGAGTCCTGCGTCAGGTTCCCCACGGGGAGCCTGCTTCTCCCTCTGTCTGTGTCTCTGCCTCTTTCTGTGTCTCTCTCCTGAATGAATGAATGAATGAATGAATGAATGAATGAATATCTTAACAACAACAAAAAGTGAAGTCAAAATCAAAATAAGATTTTCAAAAAAAAAAAAAAAAAAGATTTCCCAGGAATGGAAAGGAAACTTGGTTGTCTCTGGTCTGGCTGTTGGGAGGAAGAGGGGAAAGAATCTAGTGTGAATGGTGAGCTTGCTTGAGTCTGCAGCTCCAGTGTTACCTGGGTGGCCAGAGGCCTCCAGTGGACGAAACGGTTTAAAGCTGTCCAAGGTGATGATGACCCTGGAGGTCTGCTGGGTGGGCCTTCAACCCCCATCACATCCCAGAAACTAGGAACCTGCATCAAAACTCAGAACCTGTCCCTGTGAGTGGGAGCCAGGGGACACTAAGGCAGCAGAGACTTTCAGTGTCAGCATCATCAGACCCAGAATCAGTGTGTTTAACCCTGAGGTGTGAACAAAGAGCAAGACATTTGTAGAAGAGCGAAATAGAACTAAGAGAAATTATCAAATGATGAAGATTTTGAATGCTGGATGCGACTAACTGGATTTGAGCTAGCTGAAGAGAAAACTGGTGAGCTAGAAGATAAGGTGCAGTGAATTTCCCAAACATAGGAAGAGAGGGAAAGTTAAGAGATGGAGAGAGCAGAGGCAAACTCTGAAGAGAGTGAAGGCAGAGAATTTTCCAGAACTGATAAGACACCAATTCACCAGGACTCAGAAAGCTAACCACATCCCAAGCAAGGTGTATATACATGTGTGTGTGTATATATATGAATGTATATGTGTATACATATGTATATATATAAAAAAACAGCTGACTTGGGCCTGAAAACCAAAGTCACCAAGAAAAATAAGAATGACGATGGAGAGGCAACTTCTCAGTCCCACCGCCTGGACCTGGGGACACCACTTTCAGGGCTCTGAGAGAAAGCAGCAGCCCAGAGATGCTCAGCCAGCAGAAATATCTCTTGAGAAGGATAGAGAAGCGAGCCTCTTGCTAAACAAAATTCTAAGGGAACTGTTTTAGGCAGAAAGAAAAGGAACCAGGCAGGAGGGCTGA